CCATAGGTAAGGAGCTAAAACAAATGCTCATAACTTTGTCAAATCAAGTCGGATTTCGTTGATTTTGGTGTCAATCGACTCAGCTCGACGAGCTCTTTCGAATGAGCTATTATTTGCATATTCGAATTTTTCACCCCAAATAAGTGCTTGGTCCCCCTATGGTTTTTCGATATTTAAGTATCTATATCTCGGCTCATAGGAATTTCCGCAAAAAAAGAATGGTACCATTCGACTCAGCTCGCCGAGACGAATCGAATGGTATATATTTTGACCCGTTTCTGAGTGGGCCACCGGCTAAAGTACAGCCAATATTTTTGTGAAGAGAATTAAATTATAATTAAAATGTTGCTTTTGTTAAACTAAGCAAAGTGAGGGTATTATTGTGTAGGGCCAGGAGAGCTCCTGTTTAAAAGATATCAGTTAATTCAAGTACCTCCCATATCTCTGGGATACTAATTAATTAATTTATTTCATCACTCTAATTATTTTAAATTTAATTCTCTTTTACTATTATCTCTCAGTCTCAATTATAATCTTATCTGTATTCCTTAATTAGATCCTTTTTCAATAACAAAATTTTCTGTCAAATCAAAGTTTTCAGTAGAAATGTGTCCTTTAGCATTCAGCCATTCATCGTCTAAGAATTTTGACCTAAGAAAATTTAAATTAAGTTGAAAGAATTAAATGGACAGATATTAAGTACTGAAATTAAACAAGGGATGGGAGTTTTAAAAGATCAAGAGAGGAAAGGAAAACAATTTCAACACGGAGAGAGGGGTTTACCCGGCAAGGGGGGGGCGTTTATTCCTTCACCTAGGGAACTGAGGGGAAAGGACTTTCATTCATTCCAAGCCTCATATTTGTACTTTTCTTCAAAAAACCACTAACATATAATTCCTAATACTGTCTGGAGCAATAGTCACAACACGACGGCAAGTTGGCCCAAGCATTTTAGCAATCCCCATAGCTGCCAAAACATTAGATCCAGCAGACCCTCCACACAAAATTCCTTCCTCTTTAATAAGTTCACGAGCAATATAGAAAGAAGCCGCATCTTTGCTTTTTACCCAATAATCAACTAAAGAACGGTCTAGCACCGCTGGGACGAAATCTATAAAATTATGAGAGATAAGACTTTCTGACTCTTTGTTTAAGGGTTCAATCATTGTTGGGAGAGAAAGTAGGGCAGTTAGGAGACAGGAAATATTGGCATAGAGGAATTGAGATAAAGAATGCTTAGAAGATATCAGTCCCGGTATTCAGAACCCATCATTGACGTAGGGGATTTAATTTAGCAGCTTAAAGATCCTTTCTTCAGAGGATGAGATTGAACCCGATTTCTACATTTATTTTGGCGCTGGTCTAGTTTATGCGCCAAATGAAACGTTATGAGTCCAATCAAAAAACAATTGGATTTTTCTTAGTATTGCAAAGTTGGGGTATGGTTCCGAAGCATTTCTTCATGTTCGAGACCTAAGCCCACTGGGTCTGGGACCGTTCCTTGCCCTATCTCTTGAAATTTCGGGAAGTTATAGCCAATTTTTAAAAATTTCGCAAAAACAATTATAACTTTCCGAAATTTCGAGGTATAGGGCAAGGAATGGTCCCAAACACAGTGGGCTTAGGTCCCGAACATGAAGAAATGCTTCGGAACCATACCCCAACTTTGCAATACTAAGAAAAATCCAATTTTTTGTTGATTGGACTCATAAACTTTTTATTGGACTCATAAAAGTTCATTGGATGCATAAACTAGACCAGCGCCTTTATTTTCATACCATATCCAATACCCTCCACATCATAAGCTTTAGTCTCTTTACATGCTGGATTGGCAAGAATAGAACCATCCGGATCAACAGCAATAATCTTTAATGGAAATTAAAAATATAATTTGAAAAATTTCCTCTCACTTTGCATTCCGGCACAACTTCCTTCACTCTTTTAGCCACTCCACTTAAAGTACCTCCTGTACCTGTTCCAATAACTAAAGCATCCAATTTCCCGTCACATGCCCAAAGAATCTCTTCTGCTGTTCCTTCATAATGAGCAAAAGGATTTCCTTCGTTTCGATACTGTTTAAATTATGATATAGTTTAAATTATGAGATGAAGGATTGGGGATTGTATGTGCCTGCGATCTGGTAAGGCCATAGTGTAAGGGAATTGGGAAGGAAGGGAATGAACAAGGTTGAGGAATAATCAAGAAGCGTGGCTAGGATTGTATGGACATGGGGACAAGAAGGGAAGGATTTTAGACTGAATTTGGAGACCAAAAACTTCTACCTAGGAGAGAGAACCACGACTATAAGATGAAGGGGCTATTCGAAGAATAGTCAGACCCCCAATTTTTAATTCCTCTACCTGATCAAGAATGATAGCTCCAGGTATTTCTTTTTGAAGACGTAAAGCAACACCAATATGGGAATCAGCATCTGCATGACCTTTCTCAGTAGGCGTTCTAACAATTTCTGCCCCCAAAGAGCGAAGAATAACTTCTTTTTCTAAACTCATCTTTTCGGGCATTACAATAATGCAGCGGTATCCACGAATGGCACACATTAAAGCTAGACCTATTCCGGTATTTCCTGATTGAGAAAAAAAAATAAATTTGAGAGATTAATAAGGGTGGAGATCAGTCAACATTTGAACTAGGTAGAAAAAGGGCCTGAGGGGATTCGATTTATCCCGAAAAATTCCTTACTATCTATAATCGAGGGATTACAGCTCCGGAAAAGTAAGGACATCGGATTCGGAAGTAAGGATATTCGAAGACCCATAATCAAAAACCCGCCTTGGCCCGTATCCAGACCAGAATACACCATCTCCTTCATTTCCCTTTTAAAACATTTTACAATCCTAATAGATTCTCACCGCCACCTTTTATTATAAAACCATTTTTAACCTCCTTTAAATAAGCCTCAAAATTTCCAAAAATCAAAAAATTACCAGATGTCGGTTCAATAACAGTACTATAACCAGCTTTTAATTTTCCATCAGCTTCCGCCATCTCAATCATCTTTTTAGCAATCCTATCCTTAACAGAACCTCCAGCATTTAAAAATTCACATTTAACTAAAATCTCTGCTTCAATTCCAAACTTTTTTGGTAATTTAAAAAGTTTAACAATTGGGGTGTTTCCAATAGCTTCAGAAATGTTTTTAATTAAACGGCAACGTTTTAGAGGGCTAAAAAGGGAAGAATTTTTGAAGATAAAATTTCAAAATCAATTTACATGAAAGGATTTGATTTCCAAGGTTTTGGGACTATCTGGAACGATTCTGTTGCTTTACTTTCTGGATTATATACTTCTGGTATAGAAAAAGTAGTTTTTGGGTAGAGCGGTTTTTGTGGTGGAGGTTCAGGCATGTAGTCGTTGGAAAGCTTTTTAAAAAAATTAAAAAAGAACTAAAAATATTTTATCAGTTTTACTAAAGTATTTAGAATTCTCGCCGCTTTGTACTTAGGCAAGCTAACTAGTTCAAATCTCCAATTTATCCCACATATCCCATGTGTCATTTGGAACTAATAGGGAGATTAAGTAGGAGAGTCTGTGGTACATCCCCCATCTATCCTACCTCTCAACAATTTATTAAAATATATCCTATCATGATATTTAATAGAGATGTGCGAGACCGAAATTTTTCCAAGACTCAAGACTCAAGACCCAAGACAAAATTTTTTCCAAGACCAAGACACAAGACCAAGACCAAAACTCCAAGACTCAAGACCAAAAATCAAGACCAAATTTTTAAATCCCATAGGTCAAATTTTTGGTTTATTTTTTGTTATTTTGATACGATCACAGTCAATTCAGCACAATTATCTATAATTTCGAAAAATTTATGCGAAATTCAAAGAATTTCGGGGAATTTATTCTGTGGAAAATCAATAAAATAGGTTATTATTTCAGAGGGTTTGGGTGGATTAACGGGATATTAGTGATATCAAAAGATTAAGAGGGATAGCCGTGGGATTTAGCGCCGCAGGCGAAAATTTTGGGAATTATGAAAGCAAAGAAGCCAAAAATCTTCCTTTTCCAGCGCCGCAGGCAAAAATTTTGAAAATTTTGGAAGGCCGTAGGCCAAAAAAATTCACATTTTCAGCGCCGCAGGCGAAAATTTTTTGAATTTTGGAGCTCAAGAAGCCAGATTCTTCCATTTTCTGCGCCGCAGGCGAAAATTTTGAGGATTTTGGATGGCCAAGCACTAGGTCCAAAAAGGCCAAAAAACCAAGACCAAAAAATAAAACCAAGACAAGACCAAGACAAACACCCCAAGACCAAGACCAAGACCAAGACCGAAAAAAAACCAAGAAAAGTCTTGGTTCCAAGACCAAGACCAAGAGTCTCGCACATCTCTAATATTTAAGCTTAACTATCTCCTATATCCCCAATCTCTATCTTATCCCAGACATATATCTATCTGTTATCCCAATAATTCCATCCCCCTCGCCCTCATAAATTCCAAAATCCAGTTCATTTTTGTGTCATTTCCCACAAATCCTATTACAAACTTTCAGTTATCCCGCCAGTCCCATCAATGGGATAAGTCAAAAATTCAAATTAAAATTAAAATTCCTCACCATCCATTCATCACTAAGAAATTTATTTAAATAATTTCTAGCCCCATCCGGCAAAAGAAAAACACAATTCTGCCCCTTCTTTAATTGCTTAGCTGCACGTAGAGCACCAACAAGTATAGCACCAGAAGAACCTCCACACAAAATTCCTTCTTTTAAGTGTAATTCTCTGGCCATTTGGAATGTTTCGGAGTCTTCTGTTTTCTCCTTATAATAAATAGAGTTTAACAGATTTTGGCAGTATTTAGGGACTTTTTTTGAGGTCTACCTTTATTTGAGGAAGGGGAACAAGGGAACCTAGTTACTTTATGGAAACAGGTGGTTACTGGCAATTAAAGTTATTGGGACGATGATTTGTTTAATTGCCCTACTCAAAGGTGGAAATTTGAGAAATATAGCCTAAGAGCACGAAAAATAAGTGTTTAGAGGTTGAACGTTTCAAATCTTGGGCCCAGTTTCCGGATTAAAGCTAGAAAACCAGGCCCCTATTTGGGTTTGAACTCTAATATGTAGTTATGGGTATTGTTTGAGCTTTGTGAACGATACAAGGGAGAAATCTCTCCATTCCATTCAAATAATTAAAATCCCCACCCATCGATCAACATCATTCATATCAAGAACAGAAGGCACAAATTGGTAACCAATCCCTTCTACTTGATATCTTTCATGATGACTATTTTCTTCTTTTCCATGAGTCCCAGAAGACAATACTGATCCTTGTGGATCAACACCAACAATCTTTATAAAAGTCACAAATTAAATTTAAAAAAAGAGGGGAGACAAACAATGCATTGAGGGCAACGTTTGCGCATCTTTCTTGATATTCCTGTTATCGAACCTCCAGTACCTACACCAATAACAACCATATCTACTTTCCCATCCAAAGCATCTAAAATTTCTTCTGCTGTACTTTCATAATGAGCCAATGGATTTGTACAGTTTTTGTACTAGAAAATGTGAAAATTCTTTTTTTTGGGAAATTTAAAGGGTTTAAGAGGTTTCTACACAAGATAACCTAAAATCACTGTTTAACTAACACACTTTAGCAGTTATATAATTGTCAAAGAAAAATATCTTTTCAGAAAAATTTTGTAGAAATATCCTCAACAATACTAGCTAACTTCTATAAAAATTTCAGAATTTCTGATTTGTTATGTCAGAAATTATAGTCGATAATATCAGAATATGTATTAATGCAAAATTTCGACATTTAGTCATATTTTAGGTCATAACTTTCGAAATAATTAACAGAAAATTCTGAAATTTTAATAGAAAATAGTTAAGACTATTGAGGATATCCACACAAAATTTTATGGGTATTCGTCAACTTTTCTTTGAGTTATGATTTTTAAATTCTAGTAGAACTCTATATTTTATACTAGTACCTGATCCAACACAATAGAATTTGGAATTTCTTTTCTCATTTTAAAAGCCCTTCCAACATGAGAATCTGGACTATTATAATGTGCATTATTTGGAGTTCTGATAATTTCGGCCCCCAATGCTTTTAACGTCACTTCTTTCTCACGGCTCATTCTTTGCGGCATAATTATTATACAGCGATACCCTGCAAAATTTCAAAAAAAAATTTTTTTTAGAAATTTTTCCACCTTTAATAGCACATGCCAAAGCCAATCCAATTCCTGTATTGCCCGATGTTGGTTCTATAACGGTCATTCCTGGCTTTAAACGTCCATTCTGCTCAGCCATTTCCAACATTTTAACAGCTATACGGTCTTTTATGGAACCTCCAGCATTCAGAAATTCACATTTTCCATCTTTTAGGTATTAAAATTATTAAAAAAATTTGAAGAAAACACAAGGGTAAACAGAAATTTTTCAAAAAATTGACTTGGATCCTCGAATTAAAGTAAAAACTAGGGTTGGGGGCTTGATCCGGCACAGTCCGAAAGATCGAGTCGGGGATTTTTGCCCGAAAAAGACTCGGCCGACACTAAAGAATGACTAGAACGTCGGTCGACACGAAAACCCCAACCCTAGTAAAACCCCTCTCAATATTCGGAAGACTCTCCCCCCCCTTTCCACTTCTTTAACAAAAACACCTACAAATATTGCATTCAATTCCATATTCTTCTGGAATACGATTAAGTTTAACCTAAAATTATTTATTCTATTAAAAGTCCTCCAAAAAATTTTTTTAATTTACCAAAGGAGTATTCCCAATAGCCTCCAACATTGAATTTAATATTTTTGGTTGCTCCTTTCTAAAATTCCAAAAATTTTTCTAAAATTATTTTTCTATTTTTTTACATAAGAGAAGCAAATTTATAATGTCCAAAATTATCTTCAACTTCATCTTCATGCCATTTAATTAATTCTTTCGCCTGAGGGTCCCAAGGTTTTATATCTGCCATTTCTTCTATTTGGGATGCTGGCATTATTTTTTAAAAATTTTTTAAAATTTTAGTTTGAATTATATCTGAACTAGAAAATTAATTGAATTTAATATCATATGATTAAAAACATTTAAAAATTATTTTTGAAAGAAAGAGGGATTTGTTGTTGTGTTGCGGCGCAACTTTTAAAATAAATATGTCCGCTAAAAGGGAAAAAAGCCCGCAAAAAATTCTGGTAGGGAAAACGGAAAAGTATCTCAACAATGTATATAGGGGAAAATCGCATATGAAGTTCTATAATTTTAGTCAAAAACTAAAATTTTTTTAATCAAAAATTTGGTCAAATTTAATCAAAATTTTTAATCAAAAATTTGGTTCCCGTTTTTTGTATAATTCGAGACTCAAATAGACCAAACTGACATTGACTATAAACCAAGTGCAAAGGAAAGAGTAGAGTAACCTACTCTGTGCTCTCTAACCTGAATTTTCTTATTAGGAAATTTTAATTTTTAATCGAAATAATGGAGAAAGAAATAGTTAATGAGTGGATATTCTGATTTATGGAGATTTATAAGAGAAAAATGGAAGGGAGAAATATGCTTCTTAGAGGAGGGGGTTTAGATTGCCCTCATAGAAAGAGAAAAATGCTTACATTTAGTTAGATTTTGTATCAAAAAATGATAAAAAAATATTTTTTTTATCATTTAACATTAAGAAATTATAAGAAAAAATATAAACGTGTGCTATCTTGTGTTGGGGAGAATAAATTTAAATGTGAAGACATTCCCCATATTGGGTACACAAAAATATAAATTAAATTAATTAAACACTAATGTTTAATACTATAAAGTACTGGATTAAAATAATGATGAAAATTGTGATTATTTTTAAAATAAATAATAGGAAAAAATCAAAGATCGGAAGTAAACGTCTCCAAAGAAAGGGGAAAATGGGAGGAAGTAAGGGAGGGGGGTTTAGATTTCCCTCAAAGATTAGTATTTTCCGATTAATTTATTAAATCAAAGGGAATGTTTTGTGTAAAAAATATATTTATTTATTGAGAATTATTAAATATCTAGCTAGAGAGGTGGGTCGGAACAGTCAGTGGTGTCGGAAATTAGAACTGTCGGAAATCGGAATTGGCTCAAAAGTCGGAACTCGGAAATCAGAAGGAAAAAACGTCGGAAATCGGAATTCCGATTCACCTCTGCTAGCTAGTAAAAGAAAAGTGTATTGACAAGAATTTAGCAAAAATACATATAAGCAATTTCTAACGTTATAAAATTGATTTATTTTTGGCTAACTAGAAATTCAATTAAATGGGGGGCATAAAAAGTGAAGGAAGAAATTGATAAATAATATAAAAATATTTAAAAATAGAAGGTCACCTTGATTGAGAGAAGAGAAGAAAAGTATTTTTCAGGGGGAAGGACGAATAAAAAAATAAAAATATTTAAAAAGAAAACACTTGTTTATTCAGCTAATATTTAGAGAAGACAGAATCAATATTTAATGTACGAAAAAATTTAGAATTCGAAAACATTTTAAAAATTCAAAAAAAATTTTAATAAAGAAAACATATTTTAGGGTTAATCACTTGGATGAACTTCTTTGCCTTGGGTAAATTTGCTGCTCGATTTCAAATTGCTGCTACTTTTGCTAAATTGGTCAGAGAATTTAAAAAAAAATCTTTAGCGGTTTAAAGTCTAACCTCTATAATGTGTATCAGAAATCCTACCGATACAGAACCTTCCCGAAAATGATTAACAATCGAGAACAAAAAATAATATCTCTATTTAATTTAACAAAAATTTTTTTTAATCCAACATAAGACTGGCAAAGAAAAAAAATAAAAATTAGTAAGGCCGGCGAAGTTCTAGCAAAAATAAAGTACAAATAGATACGTTCAGTCAGCGATGGGATAGTTAGAGCTACATATTTAACAACCCTAGACTGGAGAGTTCTTAGGATCGAGGGCTCTCCAATGGATTCAGCCGCTTACGCTAAATATACCAATAAATATATTTACCCTTATTTAATAAAAAAAAATTTGTAAAGCCCCAATGGAGTACACAATATAGAGGTTAAAAAATAATTTTTTTACTTTTTATTAAGTTAGCCTGTTCCATAATCATTTTAACTGGATTTTATTATTATTTTGTGTTGGGATGGAATGAGGGATTGAAAGAACCAATGGCTAATTCTAAATGGAATGCTGGTGATTTAACAATGGGGATATGTGGAGGGTTATATGCGGTTATTAAATTTAGATATTTAAATATTTCTGAATTTTTAGTATAGCGGTTGGGATATTTTAAATTATGGAACAGATGAAATTGATAGACCAAGAAGGTAGTAATGAAAAATAAATTTTGAAATTATGTTTGGATTTGAGTTGAAGTGTAAGGAGATATAGAGCTAAGAGTTATATGCTTTGAGGAACTGAAAAAAGGGAAGCTAGTGGATTTTGGGTTTCCTTCCAAAATTTGAAGAGACAAAGAAAAGAACCTAAAAAAGACTAAAGCTAAACCCTAAACTAAAATTAGAAAAAAAACCTAGGTTAGATTCTAATTGTAAGCCCTAGACTAAAGCTAATGAGAATTGAAGATGGTTATGTACTTTTAGGTGCCCTTTTAGGAGAATAATTCATTAAGGATTATTGGAAATATAGGGAAACAGGCTTTTTTTAGGATTATATTTAATTCGAATAATAAAAATTCCTTTTGGAAATTTCAAAAATTAATTAGAAATTTAATGCCTCTCACTAAACTTTTAATTTTTTAGAAATGCACCTTTGGCTTTGCTTAGCGGGATATTAATTGTCTTCTTGGTGAATTCTTAAATTTCTTAAATTTAAATAATTATATATGTTTAGGCCTATTTTTGTATTAATATAGCTTATTTTGCTGTATTGGATGTGGAGACAATGAAATCAAGTAATGCTGTAGCTGCGGTAAGTTTTCTTAGAAAAATAAACTCATTTAAAAAATATTGTTAGAGTAAGGGTTATTCAAAAATTTGTAAACGAGCCAATTAACAGCTTAAAATTCTGAAATTTTGCACAAATATTGTTAAAATTTTTAGTTAGGTAACTAATTTAAAAATATGACAATTTTTGGTTCCCCAAAAGTCAAGTTATGGCCGAAAATGTCCATTTTTCAAGAAAGTTTTGACATTTAAATAGATTTTTTAACTACAACCTTGTAATGTTTAACGAAAAATTCTGAAATTTTTAATGAAGTTGGTTAAACACTTTTTGAGAATATTTTAAAATAATCAAAAATTCTCAAAAATTTCCCAAAAAAATTTTTCAAAAAATTTTTATTTCGATTTTTTCAATTAGTTATTCAGCCAAAAAACTCTAGGCGGCTTCAGTGAGGCTATTCCCTTTTTAATTGGAATTCTTTTAATCGGCTCACTTAATTCTAATTTATTTTGTGGTTCTCGTTATATGTATGCAGCAGCTAAACAAGGCAAAAGTTGAAAATCAAAAAATAAAATTTTTTTAAATTAATTAAGGTCATTTACCAGCCTGTTTTAGTTGTGTTAATTCTTTTCATGAAAGCCCTAGAGTTGCTGTTTTTGCTCAGGCAAATAATTAAAATTTAAATAAATTTAATTTTTATTTTTAAGTCAGCCCTAGCTGTAGCAATTTCTTTTGTTGGGGATTTGGATGGTAAATTAATTTATTTTAAATAAAATTTAAAATAAAAATTAAGCACTTATTGGTTATGTTATGTTTGGATTTTGGGCGCAACGAGTTTTTAATTTTTTAATATTAATTTTAAAAATATTTTTTAAAGATTTTTACACTCTGTGCTCTTCTAGTTATTAGACATCACAATATTCCTGTACATCCGGATTGTATTAGAATACCTCTACCCTTGTATGTCTTTTTAGATTTTCGGAAAATACATTTTATTATATCTATCCGGAAGATATATCTATACGGAAAATATATTTATAGTAATTAATTCTCTAATGGTTTCCGGAAAATACATTTTAAGAACGATTCCTGACCATTTTCCGGAAGATACGTATATGTGTTTCATTATATTTTCTTTCCGGAAAATATATTTTTACGGAAAATATATTTATATTTATTAATTTTCTAATGGTTTCCGGAAAATACATACATTTTAAAAACAATTCCTGACCATTTTCCGGAAAATACGCAATTGTGTTTCATTATATTTTCTTTCCGGAAAATACATTTTATTATATTTTCCGGAAAATGTATTTATCCGGAAGATATATTTATAGTAATCAATTCTTTAATGCTTTCCGGAAAATACATTCTACATAGAGAGTAATACATAAAAATATTCCGGATAAAACAAAGACAAATTACACAAAGAAAAATAGATTAAGATAAGTTGTTAGAAAAGAACAAATTAGTTTTTTTTAATTAAAAAATTTTTTTCCAGAATTTATTTATTTTTGGCAATAAGTGTAGCTTTAGTTGCTGTGCCTATATGGAGAGAATTTGCTGTATTTTTTTGGAAATTTATATTTTATTTTTTAAATTTTTTTAGATAACTTCTCTAGGAATTTGTATTTGTTTAATTGGTTTTGCTTTTTATTTATTATTTTCTAATTATTCAAAAAGTAGAGAAACAAAAATGCTTTCTGCTTTAAATGGTTATTTTAATTAAATTAAATTAATTTTAATTTAAATTACATTCTTCCGGAGAGAGTAAAAATTCTGAAACACTTTCCAAAAACACATTCTGTTATTAATTCTGAAAAATTCCGGAAAACACAATACTGAATATTCTGAAAACTTATTCTGAAATTAATTCTGACACCCTTCCGGAAAAACAAGGCCAGATTTCAGAATTACTTCTATAATAATTTCTGGTGTTTTTTTTATAAATTCTGATACATTTTCCGGAAAACACATTCTAAACTCTTGCCGGAAAACACAACTAGAACTATAGAATTCTACAATAATTATTCTGATACACTTTCCGGAAAACACAAAACATATTGTCATTATACACACATAAAACACTATCATAATTAAATTTAAATTTTTAAAGAAAAATCAACATTTTTTGCCCAATTAATATTTAATGCAGAACCAACAATTAAACACCAACCATTTATTTCTAATAGGCAACCTTCACTTTTATTATGTTCAGATTCTCAAAGGGAATTATTAATTATTGAATCTGATAGACTTGAAATTGTTGATGGAGAGACTGAAGATTTATCTAATTCCACTACTGGTACTTTTGAATTTTTTTTGAAAATTTTGAAAAAAAAAATTTTTGGAATTTATTTAAAAAATTTTTTTATAATTTCTGAATCAATTTTTCAAATTTTTTCAAAACTCTTCGAAAATTTTTCAAATTTTAACAGTTGATTTACACTCTGACGAAAAGAACACACTTATTCGAAATAGCAGTTCTAGTGGTTTAAGAATGTGGTGATTAATTTAATCTTTAAGTAATTTTTTGAGAATCTTTGCAACACGGGAAATTAAATGAAATTAATAAAAGATTTTTATTTTTTTTAATATGATAAAAAATTTTATATAAATCATTTTGTTTATAATTTTTTGACTTCTTAAAGCCTTTTCTACGTTAAATTTGAAATAAAAAATAGATAAATCAAAAATTGCAGAAACAAAACTTTATTTATTTAAAAGCTCCAAAAACATTTTTAATTACTTCCAAATACCTACATAGACCAAATATCGTTTAAACAGAACTTTAATTTCTGACCTCTAAAAATTTAATTTTTAATTTCTCATAAATTAAAAATATAACCAAGCAAAAACTACATAAATTCTTTAATCTTTATTAGAATAAAAAAAAAGAATTTTTATAATTTTTATCAAATTTTAACCAATAAAAAAATATTTTTTCCTTTTTAAAAAATATTTTAAAAGGAAGTGCCGAAAATTACTCAGAAAGCAAAAGACAAACTGCTCCCCCCCCCCCCCCCCCATTTAATTCCTACCCTAAAATATACCTATTAATTTCCCACACTTTTATCTTTTTTCTCTCCTTTTTTTTTAAATTTTTTTATCATATCATTTTATCAAAATTAATTTTTAATATTCTTTTTACATCATATGGGGTAATTGTTGCTGTGATGTAATTTTATATTGAGAAGAATCTATCAAGTATATAAATTAAAAGGAAGAGGATGTTTCTAATAAAAATGTAAGGGAGGGAAGAAGAATTCCCGTTATTTATTTATTTACCCCTAAAAATAAAAAGAAAAAAAAATTTTTTTTGATCGCCGTCCCAGTTTTATTTATTAGAAAATATCCGGTTATTACAGGAAAGAAGAAACAAATAAAAGTACAACAACAACAATAAAGCTTTCTATTCAAAAATTTTTTCTTGTTTTGTAGATCAACAGAAAATAAAGAGGGCGATTAATTATCCGCTTTATTTAATAATATTTTTATTTAGTAATATTTAAAAAAGCTTCTTCCCAAAAATTATTTAATTTAATTAATTAAAAAAACTTTTTAGATTAAAGTAAATTAAAGAAAAATTAAGAAAAAATGAAATTTGGAATGAAAATTAGACTTATTTGGGCGGCCATTGGCATTTCTGCTGGAATAATGGCGGGGACTGTTTTTTGGATAAGCTATTCTGTAGGTTGATAAGTTGTTTTTTTATCTATTTTATCCGTATCTCGTCCCTAACCGAATTTCCAACCTCTTCGAATGTTCAGTCTTACAGTTATTTCGACTTGATTCGTTCCTGTATACCAGAGGGGTCAGAAATGACGAAGGTGCCGGAACTTGGAACTGTCGGAAATCGGAAATGGCTCAAAAGACGGAACTCGGAAATCGCAAGGAAAAAACATCGGAAATTGGAATTCCGACCCACCTTTGCTGTATACCTTCTGATGCATCTCACCTAACCCAATACCTCTATTTACATATCTTAGACTATCCACAAAGGTGGGATAATATAAAGATTCTCTTAAATATCAAACACAAAAAGTATTTTTCATTATTTTAGAATTATTTGGCAACAGGAATGGCCTATTTCAGTACAATTTGTGCAATATACCTTTACTATACTCATTGGGCATATCACAAATCTTGGATGTTCGATTGGTCAGAAACACGTGTTAAAATCGCTTGGATGTCTAGTTGGTGGGGGAAATCCATTAAAAATTGGGAAATTAAATTAAGATTTATTTATTTGTATATTTGGATTTATTGGAATGACTGTATGTTTGATATTAGCTGGAATATGGCAACAAACTTTGACACGTGAAGGGTTGCTGGGTGAAAATTTGTGGATTGCTGCTGTCTGGTTTTGGATGAGTGGAAAGGTAAAGGGAGAAAGGATTGATTAAGAAAACCGACCGTATTTTTGGTGAACTTTTGAAATTCCGAATCGACTATTTAATTCTACAAGTGCGGAATTATGTAGTATGTAAATTAGAGATGTCACAGGTTAAGAATAAAGTTCGGTCGGGGTTCGGGTCGAAAAATGTCTGGGATTCGGATCCCTGACATCCCTGATGTACTTATTGGTAATCTTATTCACAAAGACATTGCCCTTCACAAGCAAAAAAATTTTTCAAATCAAATGTTATTTTAACGCTCCACGGATACAGAAGATTCTTTCCTTTATTAAATGTCTTCCCCAAATTCAATCGCGAAAAATTTACAATTTATTTTTCAGTGGGCATTAGCTTCATGTATCTACACTCGACATTATTCAAAAGAGGTAATGAAACCATTAATGTCTGTCAGTTTATTAAAAAGAAAATTAATTCAAACGAGGGATGAAAGTACTCAAACAGAGAATAATTAACAAATTAAAAAAAAAATTAATTAAAAACATTCCTCAAATTTAAAATTAATTTTTGACTTTTTTTGCTTTAAAAATATATTTTATAAAAATTTTTTTTTAATTCCTTAAGATTGTCAAACAAAGCGTCAATTTCATTCGTGAACAATAAACTACATACAATAAAATAACTATTCTCATAATTCTTTCATAATTCTTCCAAATATTAAATTGAAGATTATTTAAACAACTTAAAAAATTTTTTTCTTATTTTTAAAAAAATTAAAATTAAAGGATAAAAATTTTTCCATCTTCACAACTATTATAGTATTATTTTTTAGAGAGCGAGATTTTCAAAAAAACTTTGACCAGCTTCTTGACCTTGAGTCAAGAAAAAATCAAGGAATGCTGAAAAATGCCTTGATCTGGACTCTGTATCCAGGAAAAATTAAGGTCTGGGTCCAGATTCGGCCCGCTCTAGTATTTTTATTGCAGTTTTTTTAAGGTTAAGATTTCCTTTCTTCAGATTTCCTAACGAAGACAATTCTGAAACATTTTCCGGAAAACACATTTTTGAATTCTGAAACTTTTCCGGTTTTTAAATGTTTGAGCTTTCCGGAAAGACAAAAATACACGAGGAAAACAGAGAAAAGAAACTTGATTATTTGGTTGGAGAACAAGATTAAAGAATAAAAGCACTTCCAAAAAAAGATTTATAGGTATAAATCTACAACTCCTATTCGAAAAACTTTTTTTTAATTTATTTAACAAAAAAAAACAATTATTTATTTATTTAAAAATTAAAAAAATTCCAATTTATTTGCATATTCATTCAGAATTTTTCCATATTTTTCCTGGTTTCTAGTTTCAAAATAAGGTGGTTGATTTCCAATAGTTTGAACTATATATTCATTTATTTGCCTTTTTTCTTCTCTCGATTCAACAACTAATCGCGTTTCTTCTTCCCCCATAATTTCTCTTCGCTCAGAAAAAGTTCTTCTATTAATTCTTTAAAAAAAAGGAAAATTTTTATTTTCTTTTAAACAAAAATTAACGATACATTGGAACATATAAATCCAAAGCAGATTTCCAATCACCTCCATTGGAAGCTACTTCTTGTAAAATTTTTGCAGTAATAACAAAGGCTAATTTAAACGACCCACATTTCCATCTTTAAAATTAAATTTTATTTTAAATTTATTTTTTGGATAAACTAAAAGACGTTTTCTCTCCTACAATGTCATTTTTTACTTTGACCATTTATTAGGAATCGAATTTTTAGGTCACAATGGTTTGGAAAAATATTTTTTCAGAAATTCAAGAAATTTCTCTTAAAAATTGTTTATTTACCTATGATAATTTTGAAAAATAAAATCTATTCGTCATTTTTTGTCGACCTTCTTCGACCTTTTTTGCAACCTTTTTTCCTATATTTGTCACCGTTTTTGGCATTTTTACAACCTATTTAGGTACCTATTTTAAGGGTTTTACAACCTAAAAATCCAATCCCTAATAATAATTATGAAAGAAATTAAATTATTTATAATCCTTTCTAATTTTCGGGGACGATAAAATTTCCTCCAAAGCCACAGCAACCCTAAAAGTTGGCTTAAGATCTCGTACGGGATTTTCTTTCCCAACACTCCTTCTATAAACGTGCCAATTAATTATAAAAAACTAACTCAATATAATCTCTAATAGGGAAATACATTGCTCGGTAATTGCCTCTCCTAACTGCACCAACCGTTTCCTAAATATTTTAAATAAATTATTATTAAAAAAAATTTATTTTTAACCTTTTTAGAGTCAAATGTAAGTGGGAGAATATAAGCTTTATGAATTAATGGGCCTTTTAATGTTTCTGTTGCATATCTAAAAATAAAGAAAAATGTTTTTAATTATTCAAACGTTATGTTTACTCTTTAGAATCAATTTAATTTATATAGAAATGACCAAAAATTGGGGCAAAAAATAATTATTTTTGTTCCTGACTTTTGTAAGAATTTTTGGGGATCATTAATTCAAAAATTACTTGAAGAAGGTATTCACTAGAGGTCGGTAAAATCGTGTTTGCGGGATCCCCATGCATGATTTTCCTTTTAAAAATTTGCAGGACGGGATCCCAAGGATAAATCCCGAAATTCAAATTTAATACTGGGGATTACGGGACGGGATCCAGCAAAATCCCGCACCGACTTCTAGTACTCACTTTACTCCTTATTAACCAAAAAAAATAAAAAAAATTACTTGGAAAGATAAATAACTTGATCACTTTCATCTGAATTTCGGCCAGCACTCTTCGAATCATGAAATGGATCATTTCGATAAAAATCTGGATTGATCCTTTGATGTTTGTGATAATCTGTCGTTCCAAAAGGAACAATATGTCTAAAAAAGAAATATTTTTTTTTTAATTTTTTTAATTTAAAAAAACTTTGAAATTAAATTTTTTGTATTCGGATCTGATTCATTCACATTTATAAATGATGCAGGTAAAGATATCCGACTTTCCAAATTTGTCTAAAAAAAGAAATTAAATTAGGGAAGGTTTTACAAATAATTAGGTTCCTTCCCCTTTGTTTCATTTTTAAATAGTTTACTCTCTATTAATTTTTTTAAATCTCTATAGACCTTAATTATTGAGCATGAATTAAGCTAGTAATATGTGAAAAAACCCAGTGGATCAAGAAAAAAAATATTTTAAAAAAATTAAAAAAAAATCAAGATTTACATAAATTATACAAAATAAAACCCCGAGCCTTCGGTATACGGGTCGGAGTTTTTTCCCTAAAAGTTCGTTGTGGGCTGCTATCCTAAAATAAACCATTATGAAAGGCATTATGTATTGTGATTTTATTTATGCCAGAAAAGAATATAAAGATGCTAATGAAATTTTTAAATTCTTTTCCTAATTACCATAGTTGTTAAAAACTATAATTAATCTAATCAAAAAGATCAGATTAACTAATTTAGTTTAAAGCTAGCCAACTTCCCCAATTATTTCAAAAAAATTTAAAGACTAACAAAAAAAGCATGCCCAGCCGATCTTAAAACACGTCCATATTCTTTAGTCGGCATATTTGGAAGAAATTGACAATCAAAAAGTAAACGAGGCATTTCATTTTGCATTGCCAATTGAATAGCATTCCAAAAATAAAATTCAGTTACTGATCCTAAAATTAAAAAATACCAAAAATTTTTTAAAAAAATTAATTAAAAATACTTTTATAATACATAAGAGTATAAGCAGGAGGACCATAAGCCATTTCTCCTCTTTCAAATTTTTCCAACTAAAAAAAAAGTAAATTTTAAAATTAAATTTAAAAAAGGAAATACATTTTCCATAAATTTTTCATTTTTTGCAGCTTTTCTAGCTTCTTCTTTTTGCTTGTCGTTTGCATCCCTTTGCTCTGTTAGTCCCATAAAATAAAAATAACGAACACGCTCATGTATATCACTAGTCCTGAGCAAACTTAAAAAATAAAATTAGAAAAATTAAAACAGGAAAATTTAAAAAAACAATTTGAATAACAAAGACTGGAAATATTTAAAACAAAACCCCTTTTTCGATCAAAAAAAACAAGGTAATCCACCGAAAATAAAAGTAAAGTGGATGTTTATTTATCAGAGTTCGACATTTTCAACCGATATCTGGGTTGTTCTTTCAAGTCGACCCGGCCCGGTTTTTCGGGGCCTGTTAGTCCCATAAAACCCCAAAAAACCGGATTTCATCAAAATACCGGTTTCCGGCTACCGGACACGGAAAACTCGGTCCCGGAGTCGAACTCTATTATTTATAATCATTTTTTGACAAACTTTTGCTTCTAAAATAATGTGTGGAGTTTATTTTTATTTACTAACACAACATTTAGGAGAAAAAAGTTTGCCAATTCTTAAAGAAATACGTAAATCCTACAAAATCTTACTCACTTAGGTAATTTTAAACATCAAAAGAATTTTATTAAAAAATAAAAACTTACTAAAGCCAATGTTTGTCCCTAAAAGCAGTAGGTACACAAGAAGAGAAGTATTCGTAAATCTAATTAATTTAAAAAATTAAATTTAAAACTTAAAAAACCTTAAATTCTTTCTGAATCCTCTCAACTCTAGATTGGAGTGTCAGATCATCTTTCATCAATTGTTTAAGCAATTCAGTTGGCTTACACTCAACAGGAACAAATTCACCATCAATTTTGTTTTCTTCTTTTTCCCTCAACTGTTTCAAATCATCTACAGCCGGATAATGCAATTTCCTTTGTTGATTTAATGAAATTGTAATACTTCTTCGAAAAAGTTTAGTAATTAATTTCATCATCATATCTAAAGAAAAATTTTAAAAACAAAAAAATATTTGAAAAAATATTTTAAAGCTTTAATGAAAAAACAATTATAAAATTTATTCTTGACGAATAAGTGGGAACTAATTTTTGGGCTCTCTTCACTTATTGCCCTTTTTCCTCCGTCGTCGAAACCGGACAAGTATGGGAGCATTCGAAGGAGGTCGGAAAAAAACAAATCTAACTACTCTAAAATTTTTCACTCTGGATCGTTTAAACCGGTGTTTTTTGGCGTAAAAAATAATATTGGCATTATGATTTTATTTTTCCACTAGAGTCTTATTTTTTAATTATTTTAGAGATTTGCTTAATTTTCTCGTTAATTAGTCATTCTATTAATCTGATTATTTTTTTAATTTTTTTCAGTTAAGTTATAGTTTAAATTGCCTTTTATTCAGTTGCTACAAATTTTTCACATTATCGAAAATGAGTGATAATTGGGGTTTGTTTTTTTATTTTTTAAAATTTAATGAATTTTAGACGACGAAGATTATGATGCTGGTGCTCAACTTGCTGCTCAGGCAACAGAGAAAATTGCGGATCTAGGTCTTGATGTAAACAAACAGCAAAAGCCTAGCAATTCGGCAGCGTATTCTGAGGATAAATTGAAGAACGCGTCAAAAGGAAAGTCAAAGGTTTTTGAATATTTATATTTGGACGAGTGCTAAATAGATACTGGGTCCATTTTTAGAAATAATTTTTCAGAATGATTTCTTCTTAACGCCACGCCTTTTATTTAAACGGGAAGGGTTATCCAATTAAAATTTTCTCTTTAAGACTTCATCATTTGGAAATAGTGAACTGTCTGAGAAGGAGAAGCGAGAGGCTCAATTGCGTGCGGATGCGGCTGCCGGGATGGATTTATTTGGTAAAATTTTTAGTTTATGTTTTTCTATTTTTTGTTAAAAATCGATATTTGACATAAAAACAAACATTTTCTTGATTTTAGGCGTAGCTGCTGACCACAAGGAGCAATCATTTAAGGATTTAGAAACCAGAGCAGATTTTCTTGCGTATGCTGAAAAATTGAGTGAACAAATTACTGAGAGACATGAACATACTCATTATTTAACTTTTGTTAATTCTCTTGTTGAAAAAATGATTGGATCAAGTAATTTATATTTTTTATTTGATTTAAATAAATTCTTTTTAGTGACTAAGCTTCAACTTGAAATTATTAGGAGCACTGTTCAGGTATTTATTTATATTTTAAGTATATCGGAATCAATTCCTTTAGACCATGCCTACTTTCTCATGTAAAAATTCGGGGATTTTTTGAGCTAAATACTTGAGATTTTACTTGAAAAATAAGTTACAGATTGCTCGCTGTGAGCAAAGAATTTAGAAAATCGAGGTTTGGTTAGCCTTAACGGGTTAAACAAAGGAGCTGTAGGGGCATAAAAAATATTCCTAATATCAAGCTTCGTAAAATAAAATTCCCAATGTCTTAGGGGTCTAATATTCCCAACTCCATTTTAAAGAATTTCTTATTTAAAAATTTCTTTTTACAGAAAAATATTGACGCTCATGTGAAACGCGAGGAAGAACTGCAAAAGAAGAAATTGGAGCAGCAAAAGCAGAAAACTGTTAAAAAGGCGATAAATAAGCAAGTGCGTGAAGATCTTTTGGAGGATGAATATGATGATTATGATGAGAAATACAATTGATATAAAGTTAAAAAAGTATTTTTTTTAAAGATTATTATTATTAAAAGTGTTCTTTTTTGAGGGCAGTCCTGGATGTTTTTATTTAAAATAAATTTTTTTGATGGAAATTGGATGGGAAATAAATTTTTTTGAGAAAAATAATTTTTACCCTTTCATTTAAAAAAATTAAATTTTGTACTTCCAGGACTCCTCTTGTTCTTTTTCCAAAAATATACATAAATATATCATACTTTCCACATTTTTGGCTCATTTGTTGAATCGTTTAAGAAATTTTGATTAAAAAGTTTTGATTAAATGAAATGTTTTTTTTGTTTTTATTGCCATATAAATTTGTTATTTTATTCAATTTTTTCTTTAAAATTTTGTGGAATTTTTTTTTAATTTCTGATAGCTTCCTTTTTTGAGACTACTAAAAATCCTTGCTGGTCCAAATGTCGTCAGGTTCTCCTTCAAGTCTTTCACCACCTCCAGAAGACAAGAGGAACCACGTAAATGGAGCTGTCGGGCGTTCTCGACGTCAAAATGTTAATTATGGCATTCGTAATCAATATTTGGCTAGTTTGACTGAACGGGAACTGAACGGGTAAGTGTTAAATGCTTATTGTTAGATTAGGTTTATAAAAACTTTGGGTTGGGCTTGTCCTAGGTTCGTGATTGGTCCTTGAAATTTGTAGATATATTAAAAATTGAACTAGTTCTTGCCAAAAATTTTATCTGTTGACCAAAATTCTGGCCCAGCCTAGAATCTTCAAAATTTACCAAAAAATTTTGCCCAAACATTTCCTATCTATAGAATATTGTTCAAGGATGTACAATTAGAAGTTGAGTTCTCTATTCTGACAATTAAGAAAATAAAGTTTTAGGCGTCAAAAATCTAACCTGGAAAAATATTTTTGCCTGATTATTTTGTTTTTTCAACTTTTGTAATTTTCAGGTTAAATGTTTATCGCTGTGAGGATGACGATCTTTGTTAGTTTAAAATAAATTTTTCTAGCAATTTTTTCACAAAATTAATCTAAGCCATCCGTACAGCCGCAGCACAGGCAAGACTGCCTTATGATAGAATGACACTTCGGGAATTGGAATTATTCCCGGAAATGGCACGTTCTCAACACAGTGTTGCCCTTTTCCTTTATATTAGAAATAAAACGGTTATTTTAATTATTAAAAAAATTTTTTTAATTTTTATAGTTGGCACAATGGCAATTTGATCCACTTTTGGAACTTACTTTGGGAGCAATTTTAAAAGAATTACCCGAACCATTTAACAGTAATTTTTAAAATTAGTTTTTTTTGGAAATTAGACACTTTACTAAATGACAGCTTTTTATTTGTATTCTTGGGATCAGGCCAAGGTATCGCGTTTGATGCGCTTTGACGAGCTGAATCGTAACGTTCAAGGGCGCCCCGGATTCGACAATTCTGAACGAAGTTGTAACTCTACGGTACCTTGGGATGTACCCGTATTTCTTATTTTTCTCTTTCTCCCAAAACTTAAACCGAACATTTAAGCTTCTTCAGCTAGACGATAATTCCTTCAATTTCCTTTCCTTATCCTTGGAAGCTTTTGCCTATTTTTTTATTACCTCTTTTCTCGCTTTTCAATATTTCTAATCACCAAAAATTTTTTTAGTTTTTAAAATTTCCTTTTAAATTTATTCTCCTTTATTTGAGTTGTCCTTTAATTTTTTATTTTTTCCTTCCAATTAATAAAGCATTATATTAAGGTGATGTTGAGTTAGTTACAAGTATTCATAATTATTTGGAGCGTTATGGCTATATTAATTATGGAGTGTTTACTCGTTTATCAGGTTCTTTTTTTTAATTAAAAAAATTTTTTTAATTCAAATTTTTCAGTTAGAGAATTTGACAAAAAAATAACAATTGTCGTTATTGGAGCGGGAGCGGCGGGGCTAGCCGCTGCTCGACAATTAAAATTCTTTGGGTTTGATGTTATTGTATTGGAGGCTAGGGTTATTTTTTCAATTTAATTTTTCTATAAAAATTTTTAAATTTAAGCCTAGAATGTGTGGACGTGTATTTACTTACCATAGAGGTGCTGGCCTGCCGCCTGTCGATTTGGGTGGAATGATTATTAAAGGAATAGGTAAGCGATTTTATTTATTAAAAATATTTTTTTAGCAATGGGAAGCAGATTGGCAGAGAATTTCGGTCTTGAAAAACGAGGTTTAGATCGATACATCTCACCTCGGGTTGAACTCTAATCAGTGTCTAAAGGGTCAGGATTGCTATTTACAAGGTGCTAGTAAATACTAGTACCCAGAAGCCAATGACCCTAAAAAATTTTTTAATACCAAAAACCCGGATATTTCCTGCCTATGAGTTCGTCGTGATTACTACTCTTTCAAAATACATATTTCAAGAAGCAATACATTCATTTATTTCCTGACATCTTTTTCTGTGTTGAAAAATGAAATAACATAATTCCTAATTTTTGTTCAATGAGATTTTGATTGCTTCATTATCAAATGTCCAAATTTTATATTTTTCCCATTTCTGAATGCTTTCCTTTAATAAATAAATTAAATTTTCTTTTAAAAAATTAAATATTTCAGTTGGAAATCCATTAATTACACTTATCAGACAAACTCAATGTAATATTGTAGAAATGAACCAAAAATGTCCAATATACGATAAAGATGGGAAATTAATTGATTTACAGAAGAATGAAATGATTTTAAATTCACTTAATAAAATTCTGAATACAATTTGTTATATTGTTCATGAAATGGGAATAACTAAAATTGAAGAAGACTCTCCAAATTCTCAAAATAATAATAAAAATGTTGCTAAAAAAGGAGGAAGAAAAATAAATTTGGGAGAAGCTATTCAACTTATTTTAAAGTAAAAAATTTGAAATAATAATTAAAGGGGCAATTCATGAGAAAGACAATTTGTTGGAGTTAAATTTGGGAAATTTTTTTAGGTTTTGAAATAGATAGCCAGTGGGTTTAGGATAGTTAAACCGTTTTTATTTCTGAGGGGAAAATTTTTCATGAGAATTTTCATATATCTTTTTGATGATTTTTGTCCTTTTGGATTTTCCTGGTTTTTAGAACAAATTTTCTTTATTTTTTAGTCAAAATGAACTTCGAGTAAAAACAAGATTAATGAAATATTGGCAAAGATTTGAACAACTTTGTAATAAATTGAAAGATGCTGGAGAAAAGGCAAGTTTCTTTTTATGAAATTGCTGTTTGGTTGTCTAAATTTTGTACAGATATATTTATTATTGTTTCTATCTTTTTTTAAAATAGCAAAAATTTTGGTTTGGGTTAAGAAAAATTATGGAAGTAAAGGGCCAAATTTTTAAAAAAATGTTGATTTTAGAGCCCGGCTCGATACGATATTTTTTCGATATTTTTCGGTATTTTTCGATATATATTTTTCGATACTATCGAAAAAATATCGACCGAGAAAATTTTGTCTTTTTCGATATTTTTCGATATTCGGTATTTTTCGATATTTATCGAAAAAATATCGACCGAAAAAATTTAAAAATCGAAACAATCGACCGACCAAATTACAAAAAATCGAAAAAAATATCGAACGTCATTTTTGACAAAAATTTGAATTTTTGAGCCAAAAAGGATGCATTTTTGCTTCTTGCCCGTTGGAAATTCAAAAAATTTTCGCCTTCGGCGCAAAAATTTTGCAACCTGACCTTCTGAGATTCACATAAGATTGTTAAAATATCCTTTCTTGTCCCATTAATTTATAATATTCCCTCGATATCCCTACATAACACATGAATTAAGAAGGATTTCGGTATATTCAGAGAGATTTCAGTGGGTTAAGAGTGGATTAAGAGTAATAAGAGTGGACTAAGAGTAATTTGATGGGATATCCAAAGATTTGGTGGGATATTTGATATATCCAAGGATCATGACGGATATTGTGGATATCCGGGATAATCGACTATTTGTATAACTAATAGAGGATTAAGTGGATAAAATGGATCTCAAGGGTGCTTTGGCAGAGATGGATATCATAGCATTATCAAATGCCGAGATTTTTTATCCTTTGATAACTCTTTATTCCCCTATAACCCTCTTAATCCACAAATTCCTTAATATCCCTCCTGATCTCACAAATCCACAATATCACTCTTACCAACACTAAATCTCTCGATACACCCACAGTCCTTAAAATCCATTATTTCTAGTTAAAATCCACTTATATCCCACTTGATCCTTCGATATCAAATACAATTCCATTGATATTACATTTAATACATCCAAATCCATCTATATCCCATTTATCAATCTTAATCTCATTAAACTATTAGGTCTATTCTGTTATTCGTTGGTTATAGAAAAATTTGTGAAAAATCGAAAAATATCGAGACTTTTTTTTCGATATTTTTCGGTTTCGATATTTTTCGATATTTATCGAAAAAATATCGACCGAGAAAAATTTGGGTTTTTCGATATTTTTCGATATTCGGTATTTTTCGATATTTATCGAAAAAATATCGACCGAGCCCTCCGTCCGGGCTCTAGTTGATTTCTTCTGAACCGTTTTTATTTCTGAGGGGAAAATTTTTCATGAGAATTTTTTCCAAAGAATTTTTTTAGACGAAAGCTTATCGGAATGCTACCCTAGTTCGAACAATAAGCCAAACGAGGCCTCAAAATTTTAAAAATTAAAAGAAAATCCCCGCACTCAATTTTATATGAGAGGGATTAACAAGTTTCTAAAAAATTTTTTTCTAAAAATTTCTAATATGTATGAAGAAGGTTTTTACAAAATTTCATAAATTTTATGCTTATATTTGATTAGCCCGTCTATTCCCCATTATTTTTCTAATTTCTTAAAAACAAAATTTATTCAATTTTTAATTTAGACAAAAGCTTATCGGAATGCTATAGACACATGTATGGATACTTTAAATCAGAATGGCGCTTTCTCAGAACATCCGGATGCCTATGAGGTTATTATTTTTTTTAAAATTTCCAAAAAAATCTTTTTTTAAGTTAACTTTTAATGGTTCAGTTTCTCACAATCAGGATTTATTAAATCGAAAATTGTCTTTACGAAGTATGCGTCAATGTTTAAAAATGGCTGTTGATGTAAAAAAAAGAATTCTTTTTTAAATTTAAAAATATTTTTAAGGGGTATGAGGAAGCTGTTCAAGAACGTCGTGAAGTTGAAGAAATGAAGAATGAATATGAAAAAATGGAACCAAGGTGTGGTTTATTTTCTTTTTAAAAGAAAAGTAGTTCTAATTAGGATAGCACTTCGAGCCTTTGGAGGCGGGAGTGTCGGGTTTGCCGGGGTAGAGCCTTCGGGGTTCGGACGGGGTTTTTGCCAAAAAATGTCGGTGGTCGGGTCGGGGTTTTGCCCGCACGGGGGTGGGCATCAGGAATCGGGGTTTGCCGGGGTAGAGCCTTTGGGTTGGGGTTTTTGCTTTAAAATTGGTCGGGTTTTGAGGGTCGGGTTGCTACCCTAGTTCGAACAATAAGCCAAACAAGGCCTCAAAATTTTAAAAATTAAAAGAAAATTAATTTTTTGAGTGGGCGGACATTTAGGCCTGCTTATAAAGGAGTATAATCCTCTAGACTATTTGAAAGAAGTTAAAAAAACTTTTTCCTTTCTAGCCATGTTTTTATGAATGATTATGATAAACGTATTCTTGATTTCCATCTTGCAAATTTGGAATCTGATATTGGTGCACCTCTTCGAACAGTTGCTTTAAAGGATTGGGATCAAGATGACCTTTATGGCTTTGATGGTTCACACATAACAGGTAAATTCTTAATTTTTAATTTATTTTAAAATTTTATTATAAAAATCGTTGTAAATTTATAAAAAAAACAAAAAAAAGGATTCCTATGTTCCCTGAAAGGATATTCTCTCATACATATTCCAAACCTGAATCTCTCCTTTTATGATAAATATTACCTACTTTATCATTAGAAAATTCCCTCCTTGATTCCCGTAAAAATACCTTTCACGTTAATTTCTCTCAAACTAAATTTAACACCTTTAAATTCCCTTTGAACTTTTTCAAAATTAGTTAATAAAAATTCCAATTATTTCCGGCATTCCTCTCCACCCTCCTTTCTATTCTTTTATGCACACTCAATTACAAAATTTTAAAAAAGAAAGAACAAAGCTTTATCTTTTTATATTTAGAAATATATATTTAAATTATATATAAATAAATTACACGTTTTGTGAAGTTTAGTACTGACTGATTTTTGGCGAGAACATGCATTAGATTTTAAATAAAAATGATACAGTCAATCTTTGGGTTATGGGTCCGATTTTTTTGGTTTTCCCATTTAAACTTGAAATAATTTTTGAAAGTTCATTTGGGTCTCCCTGAGAAATTGACTGTATTTTTAGTGAAAGATTAAAAATAATTAGAGGGACACAGGTTTAAAATCAAAAGATTAATGGGCTCCTATACAATAAGGTTGTCGGATAGTTGGAAATCTTCGGATATCCGGATCCGGATCCGATATCCGAACCGAAAATTTCGGATATCCGGATCCGATATCCGAACCGAAAATTTCGGATATCCGGATCCGGATCCGATATCCGAACCGAAATTTTCGGATATCCGGATCCGGAACAGAAATTTTTATTTTCAAAATTTTCGCCTGCGGCGCTGTAAAGTTGAGTCCCTATTAGTGTTTCACCGGAACCGAAATTTTAACCGGAACCGGAACCGGAACCGGATCCAATTTAAGTTCCGGTTCCCGGAACCGGAACCGGAACTTTTCTAAGTTCCGGCCCGGAACCGGAACCGGAACTTTAAAAAAAATTTTTTGCTAGCAAATTTTAAAAAATTTGCATTTTGATTTGGGTTGTAGGTTTCGCCAAATTTTTCGGTTTACCGAAACCGAACCGTCTAACCGAATAGAAACTTGGTTAACTAAAACCGAGCCGAAAATTTGTCGTCGTTAAGTGATATAAGTAGATTAGAGAGTATGTATAAACGGATTTGTCGGATATAACTGTTTGATATCGGGCGATAAAAAGGTTCTGAATTGCAAGAAAATCCCATATCTACCTACTCAATTTCTCGATATCACACCCAAGTCCACGATATTACCTATGACCGTTTGAAATCATGATATAATCTAAATCCAAATTAATCCATCCAAATCCTCCGATATAACATTCAACTTCTTTTTAAGCGCCGCAGGCGAAAAATTTTGAGAATCTGTGAGGACAAGAAGCCAAATTTTTCCCTTTTCAGCGCCGCAGGCGAAATTTTTGAAAATTTATGAAGGCCATAAGCAAAAAAATTCACTATTTATAAGTCAAACTAAGAATTTTAAGAAATTTAGAGGGCCAAAAAACCACAATTACTCCATGTAAATTACTCCATGTTTTTTTTAATACACAAGCATGAGAGTACGAGTAGTTTATTAATTTTTCTAAAAAAATCAATCTTTAGGGGTGTAAAAAAGTTCCGGTTTGCCCGGAACCGATTTGAAAACCGGAGCCGGAACCGGAACCGGAACCAATTTGAGTTCCGGTTCCCGGAACCGGAACCGGAACCAAAAAAACACCGGAACTTTCCGGAACCGGAACCGGAACCGGAACTTCCGGTGAAACTCTAGTCCCTATGGATGATATAGAGGGATTAAGATCAATTATAAATGGATTTGGGGAAATAACAGAGGTATTGAGGGAATTTAGGAGTAACAGAGTTATCGATGTGAGTAATGAGTTATTTGGGGAATTAATAGAGACATAGGGTATTATCTTACATTTAAAATTGGTGGATTAAGGGATACGGGTTGGGAATTACGAGAGATATTGAGGGATTTATTGATTAATCCCCTATATCCCCTCTAATCCCAAAATCCTTCAAGGGCGTATCCAGGGGGTTAGCTTCAGAGGGGCATGTGAGTTTTTACAATTGTTTACAACTCTTTCTCTTTTAGCGCCGCAGGCGAAAATTTTGTGAATTTTGGATGTCCTTAAGCTAGATTTCTTCCATTTCCTGCGCCGCAGGCGAAACTTTTGAGAATTTTAGAAGGCCGTAGGCCAAAAAATTCACTTTTTCAGCGCCGCAAGCGAAAATTTTGGGAATTTTGGAAGGCCAAAAAGCCAGCTTTCTCCCATTATTAGCGCCGCAGGCGAAAATTTTGGGAATTTTGGAAGACCAATGGGCAAGATTTCATCCTTTTTTCCAAATTCTAGGATCCGAACCGAAATTTTCGGATATCCGGATCCGGATCCGATATCCGAACCGAAAATTTCGGATATCCGGATCCGGATCCGATATCCGAACCGAAATTTTCGGATATCCGGATCCGGATCCGATATGCGAACCGAAAATTTCCGGATATCCGGCCTTTTTTCGGATCCGGATATCCGGATCCGACAACCTTACTATACAACTCATCTAATCGTTAACTCATCTATTCGTTAACTCATCTACACGGCCAAAAAGGGTCAACTCATCCAATCGTTAACTCATCTAATCCTTAACTCATCTACACGGCCAAAAACGCTCAACTCATCCAATCCTTGAAATATCGGCCGGTTGAGTCCCTAGCCGGTTGAGTCCCTGGTCAGTTGAGTCTCAACCGGCCCAAGACTCAACCGGCGGTAATCAACCACTAAAACGGCCGGGACTCAACTGACCAGGGACTTAACCGGCTAGAGACTCAACTGGCCATGGACTCAACTGGTCATGGACTCAACTGGTCATGGACTCAACTGGTCATGGACTCAACTGGTCATGGACTCAACTGGCCATGGACTCAACTGGTCATGGACTCAACTGGTCATGGACTCAACTGGCCATGGACTCAACTGGTCATGGACTCAACTGGTCATGGACTCAACTGGTCATGGACTCAACTGGCCATGGACTCAACTGGTCATGGACTCAACTGGTCATGGACTCAACTGGCCATGGACTCAACTGGCCATGGACTCAACTGGTCATGGACTCAACTGGCCATGGACCCTACTTACCAGAGACTCAAACGGCCGGAGACTCAAACGGCCAGAGACTCAGACGGCGAGAGACTCAAACGACTGGTACTCAATAGTCTCGTTCCAAAGGATTGGATGAGATGAAAGTTTTTGGCCGTGTAGATGAGTTAAGGATTAGATGAGTTGATGATTGGATGAGTTGACCCTTTTTGGCCGAGTAGATGAGTTAACGAATAGATGAGTTAACGATTAGATGAGTTGACCCTTTTTGGCCGTGTAGATGAGTTAAGGAATTTTAGCCGTTTAGATGAGTTGAACGTTTTTGGCCGTGTAGATGAGTTAACGATTAGATGAGTTAACCGGACACGGATTAATGTTACAAGAAAGGGAGATATGAGAGAAATATTAAGAGCACTTTAAAGGGGAGAGAGTTAAAATTAATAATACCATGTTTTGAGTATGTGAGAAGATACGAATTTTATTGTCCTTGTAAGGGGGATATATTAAATATCAAAATTTACATCCTTTGATGTTTCCCGGGGTTATCCAGGTATGGGTCGTATTCTCCCACATAACCAGAATTCTAAATAAAAATCCTTATTAAACAAAAGCACTCTGAGAAGGAGAATGAATTTGTTCATAAAAGGGTTCTTCTGGCGATTCTCTAACAATTGGTGAAGGCAAAACCCTGGCCAATTCATCCCAAAATCCAGGATCACTTTGCTCCATATTCCTAGTATTTCGAATAATTTTCCCTACACTTTCCGGTATCCTACTCTTGTCATGTTCTTTTGTTTTTGTGCTCTTGAAATTGAAAATGTTTTTTTTAAATTCTTTAAAAAATTTTTCTTACATAAATTACAAAAATTTTCTTCTGTTCGATTGGGCTTTTTGTTTTTTCAAAGTAGTGAATAATACAATTTGTTAACTGAGGATAATTCAAGTCTTTAATAAATTCTGGAGATACATATAATATAAGAAGTCGACTTCCGTACACTAATTTTTCTAATTTTTCAGTAGGAAATAGGACAACTTTAGTATTGTAATATGTTTCAGGCAAATGCTGTAGTAGACAAATTCTGTAGTTGTAGCCGTTGTTATTTATTCTTTCTATTTCCCTTTGAATTTTTTAAAAATTATATTGAATTAGATCCAGGGAGGCTCCCTTTAGAATGAATCTCTCTATGATCCCGATCCCCCTCCCATTAAATCCCGCTAATCCATCCTCCCTACAAATTTCTCTTACCGACGCAAATTTAAAACCATTTTTTCATCCTTCTTTGCATAACAAATAAAAATGTCATAATTTGGGCCTTCTAAAGTAGAAGAAGAGTAGCTTTCATCATTAGAAGATCTACTTGTAGAGGGAATACTAAATTAAAAATTCTATAATATTAATTTATCTCATCAATCTTTACATGCCTTGGACTTATCAATCTTCTGTCAATTAATGTCATGCTTTCCGAAGAAGTAACTGGGCTTCGATTATTTTTCTGGCATTTTTTCTTTTCTGGTTTATGCTGTTTTTGAACATCGTTTAAATATTGAAAACAAGACTTGGCAACAGTAATTATTAAAAATGTAAAAAATACAAGTATTGCTATTATAAATAATATAATCATCATTGTGTCGGCATATTCAAAAACTCCAAATATCCTTTTTGGTTGCTCGATACATATTGTCCTTTTAGGAAAAAAATAATGAAATTATTTTTAAAATTATTTTTTTTCCCGATTTCTACCTATGGGAGCAGGCCAACGTACCGTAGAGCTATAACTGTTCAAAATGGTCGAATCCGGGACGCCCTGATATGTTTCGATTCAGCTCGTCGAGATGCATCGAACCATACCAAGGCGTCCCGGATTCGACCAGTTTGAACAAAGTTATAGCTTTGCGGTACGTTGGCCTCGCGTTCGTTTACCCCTACCTATTTTCCTGGTTGAGAAATTCAAGCATTGACATAACAAATAAATCATCGTTAATATTTGGGAAATAATTTGAAAATATTGTTGTATCATTAGTTTCCTTTGCTCTAGTTACATTTTCAACACATTGAATTTTTCCTGCATCTTTAATTTTTTGTTGGTTTTGAGCTATCCATTCTTGGGCCAAAAATCTTCCATTAGAAGAACAATCACATCTAAACGGATTCCCTCCCAAATAAATTTGGCGTAAATTTTTGATGTTTTTTATAAATATTGGCAATTCTTCTATTCTATTTTCTTCTAAAATTATTTTTTCTAAATGAGGGGCTATTAAATTTAAATAATTATTTATTTCATAAATGTTGTTATTTGCCAAGTTTAATAGGTGAAGGTTTGGTGCTGAAGTAAATTCATCTCCGTTTATTCGTTTTAAATTGTTTCCGGATAGGTGAAGAGCCTGAAAAAATTGTGGAAATTTTTTAGAATTTTTTTAAAAAATCTATAAATGTTTTTTAAGTTGGGATGTTCCTTTCCTAGTCTTCCCGGACAAGGGACCTAAGCTTACTTGTTAGCTCTAAATTTCCTCGGCCCAAAAAAATTTCTCATTTGTCAGACTTAAAATTATTTTTTATTTTTTTAGTAAAAGAAGGCTTAGGAACTGTACTTGAACAACTGGGTAATGATCTGGATGTAAAGCTTAATTGTATTGTAAAGAATATACAATATGATACAAGAGGTGTTTTTATAATTTAGTTGGGTTTAAAAGATTTTTGAATTTAAAGGTGTTGATGTTAGTTATTTTGTAAATTCAAAACCAGAAAATGTGAATAATGGCAGTGGAGGTAGTCAAAGAATTGAAAGAATTCTGCAAACGATTCGGGTAATTTTATTGTGCTTTTAGATCTCTATTTTACATACTCCTTAAGTTGAAGTCTTCTCAGCGAACTTTTCTGAGATGATTTTTGGGATACCCCCAATGAGTTTTCTCTGTTTCTTATCACCTTCTTTCTCCTTCTTCCCCAGCTTTGTATTCCCCCAATCTTTTATTTCTATTATTTAAAGGCGGATGCCGTTCTCTGCACAGTTCCTTTGTCTATGCTCAAAAAAACAGTTTTAACGGATAATATAATGTCAGATGCCAGTGCTATTCGATTCGAGCCAAAATTGCCAAATTGGAAAACTGAAGCAATCGCTAGATTGGGATTTGGGTCACTCAATAAGGCAAATAAAAAATTCTCTTAAATTAATTTTAATTTTTTTAAGTTAACACTTTATTTCGAAAAAACTTTTTGGGATATTTCAAAAACTTGTTTTGGACATTTAAATGAAACAACGTAAAAAATAATTAGTTTTTTAAATAAAATAAAAAATATTTAAGTGCTTCTCGTGGCGAACTTTTAATTTTTTATTCTATTGGAGATTTACCTATTTTAACTGGTTTGTTTGCTGGAGAAGCTGCTTCTATTACAGGACATTTGGAAGATCGAGTAATTGCTCAGAACGCAATGAAGATATTAAGCAAAATTTTTGGGAATAATTGTCCAACTGAGGTGGGTTTAAAGAATTGGTCATTGGGTTTTAGGAAATTTTGTAACAGAACAGTGTAGAGAGATATAGTAAGAGGGTTAGCGGATCTAGGCAAATTAGGGGAAAAAATCGGAAAAAATAAAAAATAATGAGAAATCAGAAATCCTGGAGATCTATTTGAATAGAGAATTTTCGGATATCCCGACTTTTTTCGAATCCTTAGATTCGTAGTAATTCCCCGTTCTTAGGAAATTTGGGAATTTTGCACGAAAAAACAAGATGTTGAGACTATTATGGAAATGGGTGTGGGAAGCAAGTTTCCCTCATTCGACAACATTTCCTTAACAGAGCTTCAACTTTTCTATTTTAAATTTATTTGCTAACTAATACCCATTTTTAGCCCTCAAAGTATATTGTGACTCGATGGCATTTAGACCCTTTTGCATATGGATGTTATAGTTACATGAAAAATGGCTCTTTACGTTAGATTATAGAGAATGAAAAAATAAAATTTTTTTCTAAATTTTTAGCAGAAGATTATGACAAATTAGCAGAGCCTTTATATATAGATAACAAAAAAGATTTTGCAAGAGTTTTCTTTGCTGGAGAACACACAATTAAACAATATCCATCTTCAGTACACGGCGCTTTTCTTTCAGGACTTAGAGAGGCTGGAAGAATAGCAGAGTGAGGGAGGGGGGGGGGATTAAAAAAAATAATTTTTTTAATTTTTAAAGTATATTTATTGGTCCATTATCCCCTCTTGGAGGAGAAATAAATGATGAAGGAAATGATGAAAATAATTGTATTGATGGACAGGGAATATTAGCATTTGAATGTCAAAATCAATTAAATATTAAAGAAAATAAGCCTGGAAGTAGTAATCAGAATAACAATAATAATCAGAATATTGCAGTTAAACGTGCAAAGGTAGAGGAGGGGGGGATGTTTTTAAAAAAGATTTTTTAATTAAGATTAATAGAAATGGAATAAATAAGAATAGAAATGGAGAAAATAATGGGAAGGAAAACTAAAAGGAGAAGAAGAAATAACTTTGAATTGATTATTAAAAAATATAAATTGTACTTTTATTTATTTTTTGCTTCATTTTTAATTTTTATTTTTGTATTTTTTTGTACATAAGAATTTTTTTGACGAATAAAAAAAGAAGCTTTTGCTTTTTAAATAGACTGAAAACGTGAAAGTGAGTGATCAGAAAAATTTGGGAAAGGTGGAAATTGTTGGAAAACACGGAGAACAAAAGCATTTCTTTAACCGTTTTTACCTGCGAGGGGGAATGAAAATGATAGAAAAAGAATTTAAAAAAATTAAAAATCTTCCCTTTAAGATTTTTTAAAGCTTCCCTATATTGACCTATTTAAATATTTCCAAATTCCCCTACCTTTAAATTATTTATTGTGTCAAAGGCGGAAGGTTCTATTGTTTGAATATTTGATGAATTAATATGTAGTTCTACAAGTCTACCCATACCAAAAAAATCTGATTTTTTCAGAACCGGAAAGTTGAGATTTGATAAAAGAATGTGTGATGATTGCATTGGTAATTTTCTGTAAAAATGAGGGAAATTTTTAAAATCTATTTTTAACTTCTATTAGTGGACAATAACCACTAGAGAAAATCACAAAATTTTTTCTGGACATAGAAGGGGTTTTAAAAAATTTAGTGTTTGTTTAAGAATATTCTAAAGAATAGAGATCCGACTGTGAATGTCGTACGAGAATCGAGACCTCCTAGATTTTTGATCGAGATCTCGGTCCGGTCTCTATTCAAGAGGATAGACAAGCTGCCTCAAAAAGCCGTCCACTAAATAGTTTATTATTAAATAGAGGTCTCTGATTGTTAATTTCCTTACTGTAAGTCAAATTCCTCTTTTTCTGTTCCACTACATTTAACAACATTTTTGGTAAAAGTTTGATCTCGAAAGCAATCACAGGCTTTTGGACATATAGATTTGCAATCACAACTAGATAATTGACAGCAAGGACAATTAGGCTCACATAAAGTGTTGTAAGGACAAAGAAAGTCGGATGACTGGAAAAAAGTTAAAAATAATTGTTAAAAGGGAATTTCTCTTTCAAATTTTCCCTAACACATCATTCCCCGTTTTCTTAAAATTTCGAAAATTCTACGTAACATCCTCTACCGATGGCCAACCAAATTAAATAAGTGTATTCTAAAATGAGATTTATTTTATCGAGAATAAAATTTGTATCCTTTCCGTCAAGCTGCATTAGTATTAAACTCCTATATCTTCACATCTTCTACCCCTCATAAAACCATAAATTTAAAAAAAGCATTCACTCAACCTCAGTTTCTGCCACAAATTTAATTTGCCCATTTAATGGAAGTAAACATTTTGCTTCATTAATATCCCTAACACCTCCATTTTCGCTTATACTAGGGATGTCATCACTTTTCCTATCTTTAGCATTTAAAAGCCATTCCATTCCACAGTTGCAAATTAAAGGGTTTTCTATAAATTTACAAGTTTATTAATTAAAGTCTGATTATTTATTTGTTTCAAGTTTTAATAGTTTCTTTATTGTATATTAATTTCAAGTTTTATTTATTAAAGTTTATTTTAAGTTTATTAAATTTGTTTCAAGCTTCAAGTTTTATTTTTTATTTGCTTCAAGTTTATTTATTTGTTTTCAAGTTTAATTATTTTATTTGTTACAAGTTTATTTGTTTTATGCGTTGATTTTTCAAGTTTTAATAAATATTCAAGTTTTATTAATTCAAGTTTTATTTTTATACTTTATTTGTTTCAAGTTTTAATAAAGTTTTATTAGCGTGTATTATTTTCAAGTTTTAATAAACCAAGTTTTATTTTATTTTATTTGTTTTAAGTTACAAGTTTTGTTTTATTATTTGTTTCAAGTTTTATTTTTTATTTGCTTCAAATTGTAAAAACTTTACCAGAAATAAACATTTGACCGTATCTACTATTCGCGACAACAGTTATTTCAAATAATTCTTTAGGTATTGTTTGTAATTTATTTAATCTTAAATCTACCTAAAAAATTTTCATTTTTATTTATTAAAATTTTTGTTTTACCATTTTTAATTGTGACATTCCTTGAAAATTATTTTCTGTAATTAATGTCAATAAATTATCACTTAAATCTAATTCTTCTAATTCTAAAGGAAATATCTTCAAATTTTGAGAATTTTTAAAATAATTTTCGTCAACAGATAAATTTGTAATCCTATTTGAGTGGAGCTTTAAAAGAAAAAATTATTTTAATTTATTAAATTTTCCAAAAAAAATTTTTTTAATTAAAAAAACTTTAAAAATTCAGAGAAATCGAAGGATAGATTTCACTTTTACAACCAAATCTCATTGGATTTTTACTGTGGGATATACTCATAATATCATATCGGTTTCATTAGGCAGTCCCGTAAATATTATTTTTTTTAATTTAAACTTTACTTCCAATTTCTTTAACTTCCTTCCATCTGTTTCAACTAATATACCAACGTTTTTAATCTTGTTATAATTAACTGAAAGTTCGAGTAAATCACTGGGAAAATTAGACCATTCCAACTATAATTTAGAAAAAATATTAAAAATATTTGCTTATTTTTTAAGGTCAAGTAAAAAAACAATTTAGTGATTTATATATGGAAACGAGTTGGAATATTACAGGATTAGGTATATCTTATGGATTATTGATGGATTATCTCGGATAATGAATTAATAGGGCTGACCAAGACCGAAATTTTTTAAAGATTCAAGAGACTCCTGTAGCTCTACAAATTAGACACGTTAAAACAAAACCCTAAATTTCACCTAATATTTTGTATTCGATAACTATAAAATAACTTAGATAGAAACTAAAAAAAACTTTTCAAGAAATAATAACTATCTACCTCTTCCAAAGCATTTTCACTCAAATTTAATATTCTCAACGATTTTAGACCAGTCAACGCTGTCCCTAATTGAAATAACAAATTCTTAGATAAATCAATTTTCCTCAATTTTGGACATTTATTGAAAGCATCGGGACTTGAAAAATTAAAAAATTTTTTTTTCTAATTAAATTAAAAACACCTTATATTTTGTACTCGATTAGATGAAAGATTAATTTCCAAAAGACTTTCACACCCATCAAAAACATAATTATCTATTGAAGTTAATAAATTTTGGCTTAAATTGAGATGGGTCAAGTGAGACATTTTGTTTAGAATAAAATTGTAGTAGGTTCTGGAAAATTGAAAAAAATAACCTAATTTTTAATTAATATTTAGATTCAAAATTTAAAATTTAAAAAATATAGAGAATAGGCAATGATAAAAAGCAACTTTAATAACTCAACAGAAGATGAGAAATAAAAATAAAATTCAGAAAAATAAAAAATTCAAAATTCAAAAAAATCAGAAAGGCTGTAAAAATATTTTTGTTTAGGTCTCTAGATAAAGAAAAAAATTCCAGATTTTATTAATATTTTCTATTTGTTAGACAGGGTTAAAAATTATGTTTTTGAGACCCTTTTTAAGTTTTTAATTAGATAAAAACCCACGATATTTTATTGTAAGACAAATCAACAATCTCAACTCTACTTAATCGTCCAATAGCTGCAGGAAGTTTTGTGATTAAATTGTGACTCTTAAAAAACAAATTTTTTTTTTGCATTAGAAAAAAAAAGACAAACAATATTTAAATATTCCAAAGAATTCCCCAATTCTTGAAATGCTTCTTCGTGAATATTTTGAATAGAATTATTAAATAATAAAAGTCGTTCAAGCTTATCAAGTCCTTCAAAAGTTCTGATATTTAGACTAGTTAATTTATTTGAAGATAGATCTAGCTGAAAAAGATTTTTTTTAATTTTAAAAAATTGAGGGAAAAAATGAGGAGGTTTAATTAAAGGAGGCATAAATAAGCGTTTAAAGCAAATAATGTGGTTAGGTTGAGACCTTCTAAAATGGCCAGATAAATACTTAGAGCATTGAAATTTTGCCCAAATATCTCTAATACTTTAATCTACAAACTACAAAAAATCCAGAGTTTTTGGTTAATTATTTCAAAAATTATGGTCGAAAGAGTAGACATTTCTCTCAAAAACCCAACCAGTTTAGTTTTTTAACCATAGCTTCAGAAATATTAAACTAAAAAATTTAAAATTTTCAGAATTGATAGAAAACTCTTAGGAAAATATTTAAACAAAATTTCATAACAATAGGACCAATATGAATTGTTATTTACAGACGCGCGCCATAACTGTCTTGCGCCGAAATTAAATAAACTTGCCTCCTTTAAAGAAGTAAAATTTTGCATTTGATTAGAATAAAGCTTTTCAATTAAATTTCCTGACAATTTAAGTGTTGTAAGAGAATTTGTTGATTGTGAGAGGAATTGAATAGGTAAATTATGGAGTTTATTCCATGAAATGTCTAATTGTTCTAATTTAGAGCTTTTCAAAGTCTGTGGGGGAAAGGGGAGAATTTTTAAAAATTATGTATAAAAAACCTCTAATTTACATACTTCTCTAAAAGGACATGATCTTATAAAGAAAGGAGAAGGTGAGTAAAATAAAGGGGGTATTTTATAGGCAGTACATATTTAGTTAAAGAGATCACTATATAGAATTCAACAAGCGGAGGAGGGGACTCCACAAAATACGTTAGTTAGAAGAGGAGTCTCTCAAATAGGAAATATCCGCTCAAAAATTTGGGAAAGGAATTCTAGCCCTGATATATCTACAAAATAGAGAGTACGTAAAATAGAGGTTTTCGATTATTTAAGATAGGGTAGCACCTCAGCCTTCGGGGACGGGAGTGTCGGGTTTTGGGGTTTTGGGGTTTGCCTTCGGGGTTCGGGTCGGGGTTTCGGGGGACGGGGTGCTACCCTAATTTAAAAAATTAATTCCTCACAATTTTATCAATTTCATCATTAAAATTATTCCCACTTAAATTTAACCCAACCAATCCAGACAATTCAACAATAGATTCAGGTATTAATTGAAAACGATTATTGGACATATCAACGTGTAAAAGTCCTTCAGGCAACCTTTTAGGTAAATTATTTAATTGGTTGGAGGAAAGGTCCAAAGTTTGAAGTTGAGGGACTTGGCCTGATTGAAAGGCATCCGATTCTATCTTTAAAAAAATATTTTTTGTTTAATTTAGCAATTAGTTGTGTCAAGACAATTCACAAAAATAACAATTCACTTAAAAAGTAATTTTAATCCTTCTAGGTTCTAGAATTTTGAAGAAATACATATTAGCAACTTTTCCTATACCCAAAAATGGCCAAATAAACACTTATACATCACCAAAAAAATTTTTCGGATTTTTGGTTAATTATTTAAAAGGAAATGGTAGTGGATATTTCTTTCAAAATTTTTATGGTTTGCTTTTCAACTTGAGAAATATTAAACTAAAAATTCTAAAAAATTTTTTTAGGTACCTAAACACTAAGGAAATAATCTTTAAAATTTAATGGCATTTGAAAAAAATCGTAAAATTTTCTATTCAGTGAATTGTCCAAATATGTATTTATTAATTTATCAGTAAAGTTACCTCAATCAATTTATTATTGAATAAATTCAATAATCGTAAAGCAGGAAAAGGAAGTAAATCTTGTTCAGAAATTATTTGAATTGAATTTTCGGCAATATTTAAAACAATTAAATTAATTAATTGACAAGGATGGTGAACAGGGCGAGGAAGGAAAATACCCAAACGAATAGAAGTTAACAAGTTTTTTGATAAATCCAGCACCTTTTTATTAATTGAAAAATTATTTAGAAATAATTTTGAAAAAAAAATCGAAAATCTTCTAAGATTAAAGGCAAAAATGACAACTAAAGACCAAGGCTGAAAACCCAAAAAAAAAGTTTTGTGTCAACATGCGGTCCCGTTGAAAAATTATTTAATAATCCATCGAAAACATTTTCTGAGTAACTTTAGGCGCTTAAATTAATTTTGCACCGGGACCGCAATTCTACAGGATTGCCCAAGATGAGCGTTGTTTCGAAATTTCAATTTCCGATTGTCGAATATGTTTTGTTTCGAAATACTCTAGTCTCATGATTTAAGAGACCAAAAGTCTTAGAACAGCTCTAAAAGTCTCTAAAATTTAATAAATGGATAATAGGGAAAAGCTGGAAACTTTTCAAAAGTTTCCAGCTTCCCTACAGTTTTTAAATGAAACCAATTTCACCCCCTACCTGTAATTTCTGTAAAGAACAAATTCCATCAAGGGGGAATTCACGTAATCCAGAATCTGATAAAATTAAACTTTCCAATTTTGTTAGGCTACGAAAGAAATATTCTTCAAGTCTTTGTAATGATTTAGCTCCAATTATTGAAAGAGAACGAAGTTTAGGTAAACCTTCAAAAACACCGGCAGAAAGGTGGGTAAATCGGCAATTCTATAAAGAATTAAAAAAATAAAATTGGAGGCAGATATTAGAGGGGAGAAAGTGGAGAAGATATATAAATTATCTCTAATCTCTCTTTCCCCAATTACAATTATATTACTATAAGTAAAACTTCCTTCCAAAAAATTTAATAATAAACCAACATTAATTTTCAATTCCCTAAGTTCATTAAATCCAAAAAAATTTCCATCAATCGCCAAAATATTGTCTTCAATATATTCTTCTTTTTCACAAAAAATATTTAAAGATTTAGTTCCATTCTTTGGAAAATTATTAAAAATTCTACTATTTTTTAAATAAGGCCAATGACAAGTAATACTTAATAAATGATTAACTTTATTGTCTGGAACACAACGGCAACTTAAAAAAATTTTTTTAAAGATTTTTAGACGTTTTTTAAATTTTAATTTGAAATATTAAAATATTTTTTTCTTTTAAATTTTCCCTTTTTATTTTGTGAGAACAACTTTGAGCGAACGGGTAACGTTACGCGCACAGCTATAAAATAGTCTCATTAAAACCTAGAACTGTGAAATTTTGTCAGGATATCCCTAACAGTGCTAGCTAACTTTCCTAAAAATTTTAGAATTTTAGATTAAATATTTCAAAAGTTATGGCCGAAAAAGTGACAGAAGACAACGAAGACAACCGCTTTTTCAATGACTTTCTGATTTTTCCATCATAACATTAAAAATACCCAATCAGAAATTCTGAAATATTCAGAGCTATTAGATAACCTTATTGGGAATATTTGAGCAAAATTTCAAGTTTCTAGCTCTTCTTCAAACAATTTTATAAAATTCATTTTCCTACAATGTCATTTACCCCTTATCCGTTTAAATTTTATTTTCCATCCAAAAAAAAAATATTTTTATTTTTAAAAATAGATATTATCTCCTTATTTAAAATTATTTAAAATAAAAATTTTTTAATTTCCATATTTCCAAAAACCAATATATTTTATTTATTTATTCTTTAATTTATTTCCCCTCAGGCTATAAAAGACCGAAAATTGCTTTTTTGTCAAATATTCCACATTTTTCAATAAATTTTATTAAATTCTTGTTAAATAAATTGATGATAGATGTAAATAATGAAAAGAGGAGAAGAGAATTTTTAATTTAAAAAATTTCAAAAAAAAATTTCAATTTTTTAAAATTTGCCCTCAGGCAAAAAAATTATTGTCAAATTTTATTCAACATAAAAAATTCTCCAAAAAATATTATTTTTTACTCATTCCCTTTTCACTTTCTCCATATTCACTCTAATATATTTTTTAATGACCTATCAAAGCAATCGAGCGAATAAAATAAATCGGCCTTTCCCGTTATTAAGAGAGTGAAAGAAAGGGATTTATCAAAAAAACATATGTAAAAATTATTAATTTTTAAAAGCTTTTTGTGATAGAAAAGGTTAAGAGAGAGGTCAGTAAAAAACAAAAAAAAACAGAAAAGACAAAAAAATTCTGAAAGATTAGGAAAGTAAAGTAACTTTTTAACACTTTCTCCCAAAATAAATAATAAAAATCAAAAACTCGGAAAGATAACTACTGTTTGGAAGCTCGTATCAAAATTTGTACTTGTACGATTGTGAGGAAAAAAATAACTACAAGTACAAACTACAAGCTAGGGTATCCCCGCCCCCGGGGAAGGGAATTCCCGGGACGGGGGGAAGTCTACCCCAGAGCCCCCGTTCCCCGAACTCTAATTCCCCTCAACCCCCGTTCCCCGTAAGCCCAGCCCCGCCTCATAATATCGAATCCTACTACAAGTACAAGCAAATTCTTATTTCCAAATACGGATTATAACAGAAAATAATTTCTAAAAAATTTTTTTCTAAAAAATTCCCAACAACCAAAACAGGATTTTCTTTTCTTAAGAAAAAAAGGAGATAATGAAAAATTACCTAATTGTTCTTTGTTTTGTACTTCAAAAAATGAACAAGACAAAGAGAGTAAAATATATTAATGATATATTTATAGTAGTTACCCCTTAAAGGTATATAAAATTTTCCGTTTCCTTTGCCTTTCGGCAACAAAATCGGTAAAAATTAAAAGAAAATAAAGAAAAGAAAGTGAAGGGGGGAATGAAGTGTTTTTTTGGTGGTTAACAATAAATCCATTAAAAATGCCGAAAATTAGTGGAAAAAGAGGGGAGATAAGAGGAGGAAGGTAATGAGAAAATAGGTATGTATTTATGATTTTTTGGGGGTTTTGAAGGAGAATATTTTGTTATTCTTAGAAAAAATTTTGAAAAAAATTCTAAAAAAAATTTCCAATTTTTAATAAACTTTTTTTCAAAATTTTGTCAAAATTTTTATTTAAATAAATAATTAAAATATAAGGGTAAATAGTATTTAAGAAATAATTTATAAAACAGCCCAAAAAGTCAAAAAGGACTCAAACCCCCAAAAAAATCCAAAAAACCCCAGAAACGTATTCGTAATAATATTGACCAGCATTCCTTAAAACTTCAGAAATTTTGTTAATTATT